TTAATTATCATTTAGCAGATAAGAATTGATTATGCACATCATCACTAAACTGTTCTATGAATTGTTAGAAGTTATAGACGCACCATTCTTTTTTTTTTTCAATCTTGAGAAAGTCTTTTTATGCATGGTATTTATGAATGGACACAATTTTACAAATACACATGAAAATAACAAGTATCATTTGTAGAATCCTAAGCACTAACAAAACACCTATTTTACACTATATTTACTGCAAAGAATTTCTGAACTTTAGGCTGGAGAGATGGCTTAGCAGTTAAGAGCAGTGGCTACTTTTTTCCAGAAGACCTGGGTTTATTTTTCCAGCAACTCATATGGTACCTAACAGTGGTCTATAACTCAAGTTCCAAGGGATCCAGCACCATCTTCTGGCTTCTGTGGGCATATCATGCTTGGGGGCACATATGTAGATGCAGGCAAAGTACTCATACACATAAAATAAAAAATAAAATTTAAAAATATTAAAAAAGAATTTCCATAGAATTTGCTATAAAATTAAAGTATAGTCCAAGTATCTCAATTGTACATGAAACTGCATCTCCACTAAAATGATACCTGATTGCTTTCTGAATTGCTGCTATAGTAATCATAGAATTATAGATCATTTAAAATTTTTGACTTGAAAAATTTCACTAACTCCCTTTTTTAGAATATTCCTCATCGTTTACTGCTACCTCTATTTGTTTTATACACCAGTCTCCGTATAGTGAGGTGTTTGTAGTATTTCACAATAGTGCTTGTTGGAGCTCAAAGTGCCTATTACATATGAATGGAAAAACTGACCAAAAGAATTCTTAAAATGAGATTGCATATAAGTGAATATTATTGATCATTGAATGACTGGTAAATATTTCTTGCTATGAAGATGTGTTTTGATGGCGTTATGCTGAGCAAAACCTATGGAAATTAGGTATTCAGAATTGCTTAGCTATAGACAGCAAGGTTGATGTGAATGCACTTTCTCTTAATTAACAAATCAGAATGCATATGAGGGATGAAAAGGAATTGTTGCAGTTTAATGTTTCAAGAACTTTTTTTATCTTCTCTGTCTTTTGGAGGGTAAGCACCTCCATTTGATGTTTCAGATAAATGGAAGGAAAGGTCAAAACAGCCCAAGAAACTCCAGTAGCAATAAAACATTCTTTATAGATATAGAAGACCATTGTATTCATTGGTGGCTTATGTTACTAATAGAGCAAGTATGAAAGATACACACCATAGATTACAGAAAAGTTCAAATACATGGAAACTACATCAGGCATTCCTACTTGGCCAGGCTCAGTCTTCCCTTTGAGGATCAGCAAATTACCTTGGAATAGTAGATATTTGAAAGTAAAATAGGCCTTAATCCAGAGCCCAACCGTGCTTAAATTATGTATGTTGTTTTGCTAATGTCACTTCTCACATGCAATAAAATATATGTGTTCATATGGAAACACATAAAGATATGAGATGGTTTTCACTAAAATCTACTAAGCAACACGAAGCCAAATTATATACTTCCACTTGACCTGATCACTTCCAGCTGTAATGGTAAACATATTCTGTAACACTCTATATTTTACATATCCTGAGGTTTTAATAAAGTGACTATATAAAATAACACTGAATTAAGGTGGAAGAAATCGCACTTCAGATGAAGCCTTCGATACACCCTCACCGCGTTGTCCCCTCTGTGCAAAGCATAAGTGGGGCAATCCCAGAACACTCTTCTCCCTCACAATGGCCATTCACTCAAAATCTTGGTATCAAACCCTAAAACTACATGATATGCTAGCAAATCTTGTCTTTCCTATCACAACCAAGGCAAGATTCTAGGATCTAGCATCTCAGGATGTTTCCAATCTGTTCCTAACACTCCAAAAAGACTATGCCCCAAACTGGAACTTGTCCAGTTTCACACTCAAAATGATGATGGGCCAAGTCAATTTCTCTCTACACTGTCTCCCATCCTTCCTTCCTTGCAAACCAATTATGTCTTGCTATTTATGTGTACAGAGGGAAAAGCTACATAATAGACACCAATGTTTTTTAAAAGATCATAACGCCATCTTAAATTGCTGGATTTTTGAAACGTTTATATCCTATCTTCTAATTTCATACTATCATTGAATTTCATGTCCTAATAGTTTTCTTTGATGTTCTGCAAATATGCAGTTCCTCTTAAAATATCTTATCATAAAAGGAGTCAATCTTCTAAATTATCTCCTCAGCTAGGCCATATGTCTTGGTTGGCATCAGCATCAAGTACAAATTTCATAAAATATCTTTGACAGTCCTGTCTTCGTGGTCTAAAAAGCCATAAATTTAGTATTTTAAACCAATGCTGCTGTGTTTTGTTACTGTCTTTTAAATAGGAATCTGATAATTTAGCCCAAAGAGGAGTCTTCACATATGACGGAGGTGTTCATGTCATCCATTTAAATCCTCAAGTTCAATAAATCACTAAATGTAATTTCTAAAAAGACATTGAAAATTAAATGTATCATTTCTTCAT